GTGGTCAGCAGTGCACTGGCTTTAACAGGGGGTAAAATGCAAAATAAAACAAAACTGCCCTTGATCTCTAAGAAAAATGACAGTTGAAGCAAGAAGTGTAGGCCAACTCCAAAGAGCAGAGCTGAGATAAGAAATGTTTTGCCGTTTGCATTTACACATTTTACCTGTTCTTCTGGGGGAAAAAAAATGAAAAAGGGTGTAGTGAATCTAGATAATCTTTGATATCCTCCTTTTGGCAACAGAAAAGAGACAGGCGGAGTCAGTTGTACCTACTGGAGGTTTCTGCTATGGAAATCACTCTCTTGTCACCTACATGTTTGTCTCTGCTCTGGCTTCTGTGGGAAGGGACAATGTTTGTAAGCTGATATCCTGCTGGTACTTCCATGAGGGAGAGGCAGATGTGTTTAAGTAGGGCCTGAGAAGGAGATGGGGAGTGTGGAGCTCTGACAGTTCCTGTCTCTTGGTGGCTCCATCCTGCTCTGCCCCTTCCATGGGATTTTTTTGGTTTGTTTTACTTGTAAGGTGGCTGAATCACTGCAGAGTAGCACTGCATTCCAATGCAAGTGTGCCAGCACTCTGTCAGCTCTTCACTCTCTATGGAGGCATCACTTCTCAGTAAAGGATATCCAAGAGAGGGAAAATAATGATGGTTATAATGCAACAGGAAAGCCCCCTTTGTACTCTATGGCAGCATGTTGTTTATGACAGTAATAGATGTTGAAATGTATCAGTAGGGTATTTACATTCAAAGAATAAAGGAAGCACACCTGTTTGACCTTTTTGATGTTTATTAATTTCCTAATCTATGCTAACTTTGTGCAATAAATTTACTTCCAAGAATGCTTTTTTAAAAAGGGACTACTGTTAAACATGAAATGTTCTGGATTTTAAGAATTTCAGTGTACTGCAAATGTTGAAATGAGCTTTAATGTTCTGACTAGTTTATTGCATGATAACTTTGAGGTGTGGGAGTCTTTTAAATCAAATTGCAAGAGGTAATTCTGGGTCAGCATTTGCCTTAAGAGGAGTCCTGATATTCAGGTCTGGGTGCTTCAACTGAATCCAGGCGATTTGGGCAGAAATGTGTGTTACATGTATTTTAATAATTTTGTGTTCTTCAAATTTTTAGAATCTGATACCGTTGCCTGAGCTAACAGAATGTTATTCTACAAAAATAGCATAATTTTTTTGCAAGTGCTATTCTGTTCAACACAGATAACAGAGAAACCTACCCAGGCTTCATCCATGGGAAGTGAAGAAAGAGAATGGGACCAGCCTGGTCCCATTTAAGCTCCTGGAGCTTTGCCATTGACTTCAGAGGGAGCAGAATCCAACCCATTTTTTCAGGAGGCTGCAAGTTAATTAATGACCATAGAACTGGTGTAGCTGTTAATTTTCAAACTGGTTAGGTCCGGGACAATTACAAACTGTAAATATTAGGAGATCCCATGGCAGAAATGGAGGGTAGCAAAACCAACCAGGCTTAGTGATCTCAATGGCCCCGTGGGGTTTACGGATGCTGCGCCAGCAGGAATGCTAAAGCCAGGAGAGTGCATTGTAAAAGTAGATGCTGTCATCATCTCTGGGTGTGCCTTGGCTGTGGTTGGCATGCAGTGAGGCATTGTTAGCTAACACCATCCAACTAACTCATTCCACATCACTAAAGCTATGATTTTTTTTTTTTTTTTTTACCTTTATGTACCACTGCTGGTCCTGGCCGTGGATGGGGCAGGACACCCTAAGGAACAAGGGATTGATCTGGTCCGTCTATTTCTTTTACCCTCCCCAGTTATGTCTTTTAAAATACCGTCTCTGCTTAAGCCAAAGCTGCCACATCTGTGGTAGACAGTCACCAGCGGCAGGAAGTCCCTTGGAGAGAGGTGGGGAGTCAGACCCTAAAAGGCCAAAATTCCATGTTCCAGTGGCATAAGCAATTCCACAATAGGACACAGAGTGTAGAGGAAGGAGGAGATGGTAGTGAGGGGCCGAGTGCTCACTGTCATTGGAAGCTGAGGAACATACACTGGCTCAGTCTCTCCAAAGCAGGAAAACATCCCAACACCTTTTGTCAGAACTGATTTTGAGAGAAGGTGTTCACAAGCGTTAATGACCATTAACAAGCTCTACTTAAAATCCAACATGCCGCAGACCACTGAAGAAAGTGGGAAGCTGAGCCTTATCACTGCCTCTTCATCTTATTCTCTGACTTTCCTGTATTAAGCCTTTCTTAATAGTTTCATTTAGCAATGCCATTATTCAAACTATTATTCCTCTTTTTTTGCTGTTGTTGACTTTTTTTTTGCCAAGTCCATGTAGTTTGCCATATGTTTGGTTGAAGTAAAAATCAGACTTACCAAAGTTTGTAAAATGCCAGCAGCCCCATGATGAGCAAAGTCATACTCTTACAAAGCACTGTTGCAAAAGATGGACGGCAAAACATTTTTAGCAAGGAAAAAGGTTTCCATTTCAACTGCCAGGGGTTATTATACCTAACAGTAAGTAAAGCTATTAATTTTAAGACTTTGGAAGTGACAATGACAGTGCCTGTCTTTTCAAGCATGACCGTTACCAGCTTTAGATTTTTCTTAAATTTCCTGGCATTATTTCTTCATTTGTGTTGCACGCTGAACATTTTATAATGGCATTGGAAAACAGTTTAAATGTGATAATTTTTTAAATAAAAATGTAGACTATTGAATATTGCGCGTAAAATATTTTTTTTTCTGTCTAAAATGTCAATATTTTTAACCTGAAATAAACCTTGTAACAAATTCATGTATTCTGGGCAGTGGAAATTATTTCCGTTAACTCTCTTTTCTGCATATCATCAATTTGCTTTTTACTCATGTTTCTCCTACTGTCGCTGTAAGCTTACTTGTTGTTTTTTCTTTCCTTTTCTTCATGCTGTCGTTTAGAGCCCTACAGAGAGACAAGTATGGGAGTAAAGCTAAACATTGCATATCAAATGTAATTTTTTTTAGTTCACTTTTATTGCATCACATATAGATGATGTAGTTAATAAAGGAAATTATTCTCACAGTTTTGAAATCAAAAGACTATGAATAGACATATGTATATATATGTGTATGCGTGTATATGTATGTATGTATATATATATGTGTATGTGTACATATATATATATGAGATTAGATGATGCTTTCTTTGTTTATTTCTCATTTTTGTGGTATTGTTTACCCAGCATAGTTCCTCTTTTAGTTGTGTATGCTTTTCTTTTTTTTTTTTTTTTTACTTCATGTTTTTATTTGCAAGGTCATGGCATTTTTATACGGCGCGTTTCATTGCAGCCCCCACTCTGTTCTCACCTGCAGTGCCTCCCATTTTATTTCTGCACCAAACCCCCCAGATCTATGCATTGGCAGCAGGAGCACAGTGCTCAGCTCCTCAATGCATGCGTTACTCAGCGTAACCATCAAACAGATGCTATTGTACCTGTCACCCATTACATACGGCCCTCCCCCAAAAATGCTCACTTTTCATTTCTCCCCAAGCATCGTGACTCGGTTGGAGAGCTTTCACCGTGAAAATCAACGGCTTTGCTCTATGTCTGTGATGGCTAGTTGATTTTTTGGCATAGCTCCCTCATTTGCTGGGGAACCCAGGATACAGCAGCACCCTCTAAGCTTCAGAAACCTAAAAGGTGACCGACACATTTGGGGCATTTCACTCAAAAGCAAGAAGAAGCCTTCAGTAGCGCTTTCCAGCCCTTGACAAACAGCAACTACTCCATCGCAGATATAGACTGAATCCTGTATTTTCAGAAGGTACACATGCCATGTACTAAGCATGGTATGAGCAACTGTTCATCTGAAATTGTCAGTTTAATGGCTTCTCTGATCCACTGTGCCTTTCTGGGAGCTGCTTGCCAGTTTTTGGCAATGCCAGAAGCCCTTAGCTGAGAGGTCGATAAGTTATTTCCTGTATCCCCATGCCTGCTCTCCTTCCAAGGAGACCAGTGATCCCAAAAAAGAAGGCATGGTGGCTTAACTGCTGGGCCTGATTTTCTTCTCCCTTGCCCACTCATACTGGCATTGCTCTCAGAGCATTTCCCTGCCATCTCCTGTAGTGCTTTGGGAAAGAGCTGAGCTCCAGCCTTATGTTGTCAGCATTTAGGCACCTCTGGAGATGCAATAAGCAATTAGAGCAGGGACACCCTGAGACCCTGCTACTCCTCTCAGGTTCCCGTGAGCCCACCATACCGTGGCAGTGATGGTACTTGCTGTACCCTCCCCTGAACCCACTGCTTTAACCTTGCAGGTGGAATAGAAGCTATTTTTAAAGGCTTCACAAGACCCCAGAACAGCTGCCTCCAACATCAGTTGTATTAGAAAATCCCCACCTGGCCAGTGTGGAGTAAATATTTTTGATTGTGCCCTTAAGCCAGAAGAGGTTGAGCATTTAGCCTTGTTCCAGAAAATCCTGGGCCAGGAAGCACTTTGTGCCTCCTCTTGCTACTCCCTGAATCCTGCCATTCAGTCCTTATGTCTTTATTTATCCTGACACCCTGCCCAGTGAAAGGGAAGAGCGGACTTTTTTCATCTAGGAAGGATACACTCCCAAATGAAGTTTTGGTAGTGATTAGCCTGAGCTGCATACACATTTCCCTTAGCTGATAGGAATTGTCCCCTTCCTCCAAAGCTCCTAGAGCCAAGGCAGTTGGGAGCAGCCCAATTTTTCAGCGCCCCCAGGAATACATAGAGCGCAAGAGCTGTAGGAGAATGCTGGCCAGGAGAGGTTATCCTTCCGGCTGGATGTTGCCATATCAAGTCACACACTTGACAGTGCTTTCCATTTCTTTTGGTGGGAAGCCCTTGACCACCAGCTGGTTAGGTGGAGCTGCGCCCTCCCATTTTGGCCGCGATGCTCTCCTTGCTGCCCAGCCCCCAGCAGCCGCGGCAGCCTAGGAAGGGGGTTTGAGTGTGCACATCCTGCATGAGTGTCCTGTTTGTACAAGTCACCCTCTCTTGTGTAATGTTTTTCAGAGGGGCTTCTGAACAATGCCAGGGATACAAGTGTCACGGATACTCTACCACTGAATGGTAATCACGGCAACAGCTACAGCATCGCCAGCGGCGAGTACCTCAGCAACTGCGTGCAAATCCTTGACCGCGGGTACAACCACACGGAGAACGCCCTTGAGAAAAAGATCCTGAAGGAACTCACCTCCAACTACATCCCTTCCTACCTGAACAACCATGAGCGCTCCAGCGAGCAGAGCCGCAACTTGATGAACAAACTCGTCAACAGCGTGGGCGGCGGGAGCGAGGACGATGCCATCGTGCTGGATGACGCCACCTCCTTCACCCACGAGGAGAGCCTGGGCCTGGAGCTCATCCACGAGGAGTCGGACGCCCCACTGCTGCCTCCCCGGGTGTACTCGGCAGACAACCACCAGCCCCACCTCTACAGTCGGCGCCGCATCCCGCAAGACAACAGCGAGAGCTTTTTCCCTTTGCTGACCAACGAGCACACGGACGACCTGCAGTCGCCCAACAGGGATTCTCTCTACACCAGTATGCCCGCGCTGGCTGGCATGCCCATGACGGAGAGCGTCACCGCCAGCACCCAGACCGATCCTCCACCAGCGAAAAGCGGCGGTGGCGATGCCGACGATGTTTACTACAAAAGCATGCCCAATCTTGGCTCCAGGAACCACGTCCATCAGCTACACACTTACTACCAGCTAGGTCGAGGCAGCAGCGACGGTTTTATAGTCCCACCAAACAAAGAGGGAACCTCCCCGGACGGCAATGCAAAAGGACCCGCTCACTTGGTCACTAGTCTATAGAAGATTCAGCAAAAATTAAGCAAAGAGACAACTCAAAGCCTCTCCGTAACGCTCGGTTTACTGTTCTGAGTTAATCCAAACAGTGGTAATATTGTGTGTACTCCTAAATCTTCATGCTGTTCAAAAGGAAATTCTCAGACTTTTTTTACTGGAATTTTTAGGCCGGCCCGGAGAGGACAGTAACTGCTGTGCCCCCCTTATCTTCCCATCCTTCTTCCCTCCAGACAGACTTCATTATGTTAATGAAAGAGATAGATAACGGCACACTTCGTGGCCTTCTCAAGTTATGCCGTGTTTGTTTAAACAATCCTTGATGCTGTGTTGCTCTTAATACCGAGGACCTGATTTAAGAGGGAAAAAAAAAATAATAAAAGGCCAAAAATGTGCATTTGAAACTAGTAGCGATGACGCATCTAGGTGGGAGCGCTGCGTAAAACAAGCTAGCAAAACTCTTTCTTACCAATCCAGATCACATCATGGGTTATGGTCACTCACAACTTGGTTTCACTGCAGCGCCCTTTGCTGTGGGAGCAAACAAAACATAAACAAATTAAATGAGACGGAAGGGAATCCTAGAATCCTGTGCTAAAGGCATATTTTACATTTTGCTGTATTAACGGATGATAAAAACTAATGGCAGAAAAAGAGAAGCGAACAATTTCTATGTAATGTACAGATACTAGCATTGCACATATAGTCTGCTTTCTGTTCCTCCAGAATTGCGTCCCTGTTAATGTAGTGGAAAAAAAAATAAGAACTTTTTTCTGTTGTGCTGGTCTTGTAAGTTTGTCTACCAGTAGGAGCAAGGTTTTTCATAACTCTTTCTTTTTTTATTATTTTTTAAATTTTGTTTTGCCTCTTCCACTGCTCCTTCCCTCTGTCCCCTTCCCATCCCAGAAAAAAACTCACTGGGCAAAAAAAAAAAAAACCAAACCCAGACATCACTCTCTAAGGACCATTTTTAGTAACACCATCACCATTTCTTTTCAGCCAAGGCAGTCTTTTAATTTCCTCGCTGTATAACCTTTTTCAGCCGGCGTGTTGCCAGCAGACCTTTTGGCAGACTAGAGCAGGGCAAACTTCCTCGTTGTCAGTGCACAACCGATCGATAATCCTGGGAAGCATCTCTGGTGAACGGCCCCTCAGCCAGGCCCTCGGGGCACATCCAGGGACCCAGAGGGGGATTTGTAGTCGCAGTGGGGGTTCCACAGGAGACGGCCATTTCCCTGGAGGAGCAAAGGGCCTTCTCGGCTCAGTCTGGTCCCCGGTTTAGGCACTTGTACTGCAGTGGTTAAGAAGAACATAGATTGACGCGTAGTGAGCTAAAAAAGTACTTTGCGGTGATTTTTAATTAAAAAAAAAAAAAAAAGTCCTCTGTTCATTATTTTTCCTAACAGGAAATTTATTTATTTGACCGGGTTTTTAAGTAACATAGGCTTTCTGGAGGTAAATTAGCAGCACGGAGTATGAATTCTTCTTCTTTTTCTCTTTTTTTTCTTTTTTTTTTTAATTTATGATCCATTTTGTACGGTCTCAACAGTTGAATGACCTCATTACTAATATTTGTTGTAAAAGTGAAGCTTGTTTGCCAACCAATAAACAACTGATCACGATTTAGAAGATACTGTATGTATGTACTGTACAATTAATCTCTCTTTTTTTGTCGTTGTTGTTCCTCTCTCCATTAATGTCTTAAGTATGAGTCTCCACTCCTTTACGGCATGGGTGAGCAATGCTGAAGAAAGGAGGACTAAGATGAGAAATTTAAGCACAAAGGTTATGCAGCTGTGGCTGACTAGAAATATCAGGCTGGTGGTACTTGTTTAGGGGCAAGAACAACATTGGTTGACATTTGTTGCAGGTGATTCTAGGTCTGTTTTGTGCCTACTGTATAAAGTAGCCAACGACACGCGGATGATTTGAGTATAGCGTTTCACGTGTCGTATCTTTTAATCATTGTAATTTTTTTCTTTTCTTAATTTTCTTCTTTTCTTTTTTTTTTTTTTAATTTGGGTTTTCTGAGATTAAAAACGCTGGTAGCATGTCAAAGAGTAAAACAAGTCCCCGTTAGGCCTTCTTGGTCGTTGTTTGCTGTCTCTTTATTTTCTTGCTCCGGGCATATGCCAAGCGCCCTCACCATCCTTGGCCACATCGTCCTTCCTGCCCCACCTCTGCCAATGGCCCACTGGCACTTCACTGCTCTCCTCCAGCCTCCCCCTTCAAATCCCTGGAGTGCAATCAGGAATACAGAAAGCCACAGAACAGACTGGAAAGGTTGACAGGGAAAATAACCACCTCTGGATATGACTGGTAATGAATTTTCAGTGATTTTTCGCAAAGCCCTCCCATCACCTAGGCTTAGGGGCTTGGTGCTGCTTCCACCTAAACTGTTCCTATCCAAGTCCTATCATGCTGGGTAAAAAACAAAAGACTTGGAGCAGATATTCCCAGTGCTGGAGGATAAATGCAGCAGCAGCAGATCAGTGGAGCAGTTCTGCTCCATCCCAGGGTTGTCCTCGCGTTGGGGCAGCGCTGCTCGGTGCTTCTTGGGCAAGAGAACCAGGGGTGGTGGTATTTGGTGGTATTCATGGCCTACAAAAGAGTCTGGTTTGAGTCACCTGAATCCTTCCTGCAGCCACTCTGGACAAAACACCTTGGGGAAGAAACTCCATGTGAGACCAAACACTGATCACAGCAGAGCCTCTTGCTGGGTGTAGGTTTTGGCAAGGGAGCATTTCCGATTGGAATATTGGGGAATCACCTGCCTACATAGCAGAGCAGCCACTGGCCAGCCAGGTAGCGCTCTTGCTCTTGATGCTGCCTCCCTGTTCCATTTTATTTTCCATACCAGCAGCTATGGAAGTGTGGATAGTGTGTGGTGGATCCCCTCTTACAGGTACAGCAGGTGATCCACACCTGTGGGGTCACAGCAATCCACGTAGCAGCCCAAGAGGCTGCTGAGGCTTTAAATAACTGAGGTACCTCTTATTTTGGGGAAAGTAAAAACTCTTTTACTGTAATAGACTCAAAAAAAGTTTTTCAGGGATATGGTGGAATTGAGTTCATGCAGAGGGTGAGATACACCCTAGCAAATATCATCGTGGTAAAGTGGGAGGGAGGTGACCAACACGCCATTTACCAATATTTCTGACAGTCTGCAAGAACAAACCAGTGGTGGATTTGCTATGGGCTCGTTTAGTCCTACTGAAAAATCTTTAATTTATTTTACTACAAATGCTCATTCTTCCCCAGCCCTTCTATGTATTTCAGATTTATCAGTGTGCAGGCTGTTTTTCCCCTCCATCCCTTCTCTTTGCCAGCCTACCCGTGCCTATTAGCACTTTGATTGCAAAAAAACACTGTTTATTTTCAAGCTGATTATTTCTGTCCCCAGGCTGTTCTGACATCACAAGATTCACTGTTGGTGCTTCCTATGGCTTAGGAAACAGCTGAATCAGAAAATACAGGGAAAATATATATTAATGATTTTATTAAGCCAAAAATGGTTTAAGACTGTAATATAGTGGGGGTGTTTTATGAAGGGGAGCAGGACACAGAATATTTTTGGCATTTTCTCCCCCTTGAGAACAGATTTTGTTGTGTCAGATAGTTGATTATGGGCATGGTGAAGGTCGGTGCTTGTTGATAAGCTCACTATGTACAATTCTTATGTGACTGGCAACAGTGTCTCCTCTGCGGATTGCAGCATGTGAAAATCCACTCACTGTTAAGTCCTCAGTGCCTACAATGCTCCCGGGGTATGAGGGAGAGCTGCAAAATTTGTAAGGCGTTTCTCAATGCTGAGCCAAGGCAAGAATGTGAGAAAAAAACGTGATTAAAATGCAGTAGTGATTATGGTGTTAAATCCATACTCATGCTTGGGGCACATAACTGTGTAGGCTGGGTTGAAGGGGGTAATCAGCCCTGTACTCGAGGGATCTTTTCTAGAGCTCCATTTAACAAAACAAAACCAAACAAAGAAAGCCCAACCAGATTTGCTTTATAGGGAGAAGATCAAAGCTTCATCATTCAACTGCAACAAACATCCTACTTTCAGCTGAAAACAAACAAAATAGAAGCAAACAGGTAGTGCTTGATCTGATGAGAACATCAATTGATACACAGACCAATTTCTGAAACACAGGGCACCTTTGGGAAGCATGAGCTGCCAGGCATGTTTGGAGTGAGGATTGTTAATGCTGATCTGTTGATTGAGTTGCCCCTTCAGAAAGCTTTTCTTGCAGGTGGGAAGAGGGGAATGGAGAAGTGCAAGGCTCTATGCTTTGCATTTTCCTGAAAATCGTCTTGAGATGCTTTAAAAGTTATGAATACCTTTTTTCACTCACTCCTAATTTGCACAGGGTTGTTTTCTCCTGTGTAATCCCCTTGCACACCACCCCATAAAGAGCTGACACATCAGCTTACTGCTTAAGGACACTGACTCCAGCAGGAAATTTCCACCCATTTTCTCCAAGAGCCAGAAGAGACTGTAAGATCTCCGTGAAACGTGAAGGAGAAATATAAGGCAAAAGACATGCCAAGAAAGACCATGTAGGCTGGAGGATTGCTGGGAATGGAGGGTATTCATTGCAGCTTTGGAGGCACTGTGTAGGCAAGATTGCTTACCATGGTCCTGTTAATTTCTGCCTGTTGATTGCTTTTAATTTCAGCTACAATCTGTAGTTGTTTACCAATCTCTTTCCTTCCTCCCATGCCCCAGGTAATAAGCAGTGAGATACCTCAGAGGGCCAGGGGAAACAGTGGTGATGGAGGGAAGCACTGAGTTCCTGGTGGTCCTTCTGTGTCTCTGTGTGTGTCTCTATTGCCTGCATCCCCCTTCCCTGACCAGCTGGCCTCTCTGTCACACCCCATGTGCCCTTAATCTCACCAGGTTATGAAGAATGTAATACCCTGCAGAATTGCCTAGTCAACGGGGATAGAAAGATAGCTCATCTTATGAAAAACCTCTCTCAGGAAAGCCTAAGAGCACAGGCATGGTCATCTGTCACACCCTGATCTCCTCCTTAGCTTTAGAAAGAAAAGTGCTTTATTTTTAGCTATCTGCTGCATTCAGCTACACTCTATGCAAATTTTATTTAATGAATATTTTAGGGTTTAAATAGTCTGGGCTCATGAACATCATGTAAATGTCATGTTGTTGCAGGCTCTGTGGTAACAGCGTGGAGGACATCCTGCAGTGTAAAGCTGACGCCAGATAAAATCTGTGATTAGTGCTCCCAGGGAAGGCAGCCCTGGGTTGTTCAGTGACTGTCCTGGGTGGGGACATTAGCAGTGTAGTCAGGGGAGGGCACTGCAGTATCCTGGGAGGCAGCAGCACTCCCCTTTCTGGCCTGAGGGACATTTCCTTCAGCACAGGTAGCTGGCCTAGGGCCAGTTTTGCTCTTCCAAAGGCTTTGGCAAGCCCTGGGAATGTATGGATAATACACCAGACCATTTATCATCGCAGTTCCAAAGAGGCGATCTGTTAAACGCTGAAATATTGAGACTAGCCAGGATAGCTTGGAAATCTTCCTTTTTCACATCAAAATAGCTTTTTACAGGTGCTTACTGTTTATTGTATTCGGTACGCCAGACAGATGGTGATAGTCTTCTTCAGGAAAATGCCAAGAACAAAAAAAAAAATTATCCTAAATGTTTTCTGTCTTTTCATTTCTTTATCTTCCACTCACTTTCTTTTCTTATATTTCTACTCCTTAAATACGCTGTACACATGTAAAAACCCAAGCTAAAACCTCAATAAATAAACAAAAAATATTGGTACACAGAGCAATTATTATGTGTTGGAAACAAATGCTTGGCATTTTAGCAGTGCTGCTTAAAACCCCAAACAGCAAGTTTGAAGACACAAACATAGCTGCTGCACAACCTCCTCAGCTAGTGTGATGGCAATATTTGTACAGATGATCAAATATCTCAGACTTCCACTTAAAATGGACTGCATCTTGTGTTACAGCTTGGGAAAGGTTATTTCCAGCAGAAGGGTGCTTGGTGGGTAAATTACGGCAATAATAAAACTGTTTTCAGCATGTCTTCCCTCACTTCTCTAGGAGGCATCTCAGGCAGAGTTAAATTTGGGTCCCTGTGCAAGAAAACCTCACTCCAGACATGAGCCCTGCAGCCTTTGTGTCCCACCAGCAGCAAAGGCTTCACCTTTTAGTGGGCACAAGTCTGTGGTAATATCCAATATCCACAATTCTGTGGTAATATCCACTGAGAAATGGCTTTGGAGGATGAATGTTGAAAAACAAGTGGTCAACAAACTGGGTGGAGGATGTCTGGGTATTCCACTTGGGAAGCAGAAGCCCTGTGTGGGCACCCCCAGCTGTGCTCCAAGCACCTCTGAGGACTTGGTTGCCCAAAAGCTGCAAAGAGAGTGTGGCAAAATGGACTTTGGTGGGGGGGGATTAAAAGAAAAAGCCCCTAATATCTGGTATTGAAATATGCCCAGAAGAGTTTCTCAGGTGTTTTCTGTAGGCAGCTGGAGAGAAGTGCAAGGTCATGGGGAATTAGAACTGTGTGTGATGGGAGGCATATTGGAGGCAAGCTAAAGCTTTGCTGTGGCTATTGTGTGCCTGCTCTGGCCAGCCCCTGATTCCCTCACCTAAAAAAAGAAAGAAATATATACGTTTTAAAGGTTTGCAACAAAGTAGCCTTTGGTTTGGGTTTG